TGTGTCAGGAGTCCTTGCCAGGGTCGTTATGCAATGTGACCTCTTCCAGATCTTAGCCACCTCGATGGAAACTCTTGATGATTTTAGCTTGATGTGTATCACATAAGAAGATTTTGTAGAGTCATGTCACTCAGCTGCTACTTGGCGCTTCCAAGCCTGTACCGGTTAAATTCAACTGGATGGGTCGAAAATGTGCCTCTATTTGGCACTGTTTCAGTTCGCAGAACAGTACAACGCCGTCCTGCCAGGCACGCTGTCGTCAATCGGATATGCTGGTGTCGCTGTGGTCGTCGTTTCGCTTTTGCTAATTCCGGAACCGGTAGCCAGTCTATGGGTAAGTATTCTTTGCCTCGTATGCCACTTGGCCGATTGTGCTTCTGAGAGTCCAACGCAACGGGCCCTGCAATACCGTAATATCGTTCTCATTTCAGGTCTCCTTCTCCATCGTGTCGATCAACGTCGGAATACTCGGTTTTATGACATTTTGGAGTGTTCGACTTGATTTCATCAGCATGGTTACGATCGTCATGTCCATTGGCTTCTGTGTCGATTTTGCTGCTCATCTAGCTTACAATTTTGCCAAGGTAACATCTGTTCTGCTCCTTCTATGGATAAAACTCCCAGGATCCAAATTGTTTTCATTCTTCGGAGCTCTGATCTGGATTTCCCATCAATGTGGAACCTTTTTTGAGTACTTCATATTTGCAAGTTCAGAGGGCTGGCCAATGTTTTATGGAGAAGGTGCCATGCGATACAATTAACTCTTCAAAGCAGTGGCACATCTTCGTTCCTTTTGAGTTTACTGCTCATAATTGTACTGTTAGATCGCAAATTCTAGCAAAGCAAAAGACTCAGTGATTGATATCTCACTTGTTTGTTTGTTTATCTGTTTGTTTGCTCAAATTCCGATGTTTAGGGGCGTAATTTGCCACCATCAGAACGAATGCGTAATGCTCTGTATGCTGTCGGAGCGCCGATACTGCAAAGTGCCACTTCGACGATTCTGGGCGTTTCATTTCTCGCATCTGCAGAATCGTACGTCTTCAGGAGTTTCCTGAAGACCATATTCCTTGTTATTGTATTAGGTAGGTGCAGTACTGGGAACAGTTCGTCCACGGCTTTCAAGTGGTTCTACTTCTTTTCCTCTTTTTTTCTTTTTTCATCTCAATCTCATATTTTGAGGAGTACTTCATGGTCTTGTCATTCTACCAGTCCTATTGACAATGTTCCATTGCTCATGGACCAACGATGTGACCAACGATGCAAAGGAACCTCCTCCATCAACTAGCCAGAAAGAAAGGCCGTCATCATCACCTCCGGCTAATATGAATGTGAAGTACCTCGCCAGTCCTGATCTGTACAAATTCCCAACACCTGAACTGCCTTTACCCTACGTAGAATATTTGAAAGACCTAGGTAGACCTCCCGCCTATCATGAGGCCTCTGCTCCATATCCTATGCGAGCCCGACTGAAATACCCGAAAAACCGTGAGCATCCTTCCGATCGCACACCTGAATACTACTTCGGTGCCAAAGTTCAACCACGGTGACGTCATTTAGCGATGTCTTCCCTTATGTGAATCGTTGTCTTTCAATCGTGTTCTCTTTCCTACACCGGTAATCCCTTGGAGTTTCTGCAAGGAACTACTTCTCAATTGCTAATGTGTTTTAATATTCTTTCCTATCCTATTTGGTGCCATTTTAGATTTCTTTAGTGTTCCTTCTTCTTGGTTTTGCATAGGTTTAACTTGAATATCACCTATTCACGTTGTTATGTTGTATCTCAATTAAGTATTTTGCTCAAAGGCGAGAAATGAAGTTTCAGTGAACGTCTTCGCATAAATTTTGAGGATGATGGTCTAAAAATTCACTCACGGAAACGGTAGGATATTGGTTTGGATGCTGAACTAGGGCTTCATATTTCTACTGTGCTCCACTTTTGAATTCATACTGATTCATTCACCTCTTCATTTGAAAATACCCACTGAAGAAAAAATTGGAAAGCGGCTCACCACACGTGACGGAGTTCAGGAACAGAAACAGAAGCAAGTTCTAGCAGCGACAAGGCTTGTGCCTGACGGATGATGCAACGGTGGTTGACGTGGTTGAGGTGTTAGAGTCGTCGGCAATCCATTGCCATGTGGTCTCCTTTGCCGGTGGACATCGTACGGCGCATTCCTGGCGGGACCACTTCACGTGCCAGGCCGAGGGCCTTGTGAAAGGCACAGCAGCTGTCATGCCAAAGTTGCTCCATTCCTGTGGCTCTTTCATTCTAACACTCCTTATCAATGATTATCAGCTGTTATCAACATTTATGACCATCCTTTTCAAACTCGCCATACTCTTCCTAAAGATTTCAGAAACAAAGGTCCTGTCAAGGCTTATATGGACTCTTGGACTTTCACAAAGCAAAGTGATACCATTACAGTTCCTTATAAAGTATTTATTCCGCTTTCAGTAAACAAAAGCACTGTCACGAAATAAAAACGCCGTCAGAATCATAAAATTTCAAGAGTATCGTTCTAGAACAATATATGAAATGAATGACATTGGTTACGGATGTACATACTATACGTGAATGTCTTTTGACGATCACTTCTTCTTTCCCCCGCTTGGTACAGCCGATCCTGTGAAAACTGAGGAATCGCCTTCCTTTTCTATTTCTTTACCGGCTTCCTTGACTCTCTGGTCCCAAGTCTCAGCTAGACGCTTCTAGAAAGGTAGCGCACAATAATCTAAGCTTAAGTAAAGTACCTAGTAAGTTCGACATAAACCACATTTCTTTTGTAACTATGCAGTTCAATGAATCCCATTCACTCATTCTCAGCACTAAGGTAGTATTCCAGGGAAACCCACCTTTCGACGTTTTTCTTTGAAATGATAGGCAATTGGTAGACAGATACATAGCAGTATTACTACTACGATACCTACAGGGATAAGAATAGCCGTCAAACTGAAAAACAATAAAGCTTTGCGACAACTTACTGAACAAAGCAGAGCCTTTGAATAACCTATACTGGGCTAGCATTCGCAATGAAAATAAGTAAATTGTTAAGGATGATGGGATCCGCTTAGATGATGGGATCTGCACTCTGAGAAATTTTTACGAAGGAAAGCTCGGACCACGTCGATCAGAGGAGTCAAGGAGGTGCCAACTGCGTTAATCGTCGACCTCAGCAACAATGTGCCCTTTACTTATTAAGTTTTCAGTAATCTGCGGCTGTTCTATTACTCCACCTCATTGGGCTACCAAATTTCGCTGCCAGTGAACCTACTGCTTGGGAAAAGTAGTGCAGGGACACATTTATGCCATCGACTGAAGCTGGCTACAAACGGCTTCTGGACTGAAAAGAGGATTAGAGTTAACTGAATGCTTGTACGTACTCAAAGCTTTCGTCAACAGGGAACATGTTCTGTTTGAAGCATGTCATAATAGCCCTGGTGCTCTCAGAAATCGAAATGAATGTCCACGAGGCGACTGCGGGTAATATAGGTTCATTTTGGATACTCGTTTCGATGTGTTCCTGAATTGGAGTGTAGTACTCTTGTCGAAGACGTACTTTTTTTTAAGGAAATTTTGGATGTTGTCATAAATGGCAAACCTTGATTGAATCTCCATTGCAGCTATCGCTACTACAGAAGCAAGCAGCTATTGAGGAGTAAGTGGAGTTTTGGAACACTCCACATCGATTGTCGACCTGGAAAACTTCGATCTCAAAAGGAACCGGCACCGGTTATATGTGGGGAGTGAGGGTCCCTCGAATACACGATCTGCTAAAACTAAACCAGGCTCCTTTTCTCTTTACCGAGGTTTGGTCAGTCGCTACGACCTCCTTACTCAGCACTAGGCTCTGTCCGGGTATCACACTCCGTTCTCCTATTTTTGAGTCGTAGCTTTTGCATATTTATTTATTTATTTATTTAGTAACATGTACAGTCAGTACATGAACACAGCGTACTACAAAAACAAATCATATAAATAATCAAGATCGAAGAGAACCCGGTAGTAAAAGACAGCTGATCAAAGCAAAAGCCATTGAAAGAGAAATAATACCTTATGAAACTTCCACTAAGGCTAAACTAAAAATGAGCCTAACCAGTGTAGCTCTCAGCCAAGTATTTTTTCANTACGCCACATGGCCGATTGTGCTTCTGAGAGTCCAACGCAATGGGCCCTGCAATACCGTAACATCGTTCTCATTTCAGGTCTCCTTCTCCATCGTGTCGATCAACGTCGGAATACTCGGTTT